CTCAAACTATGAAAATCAAAAAAAGAAACAATTCTTGACCGGAAAAATAAGCGGTCATGCAGAAATTTTTGGTTTATAATTAGATTAAATGAGGATAAAAATTAGATACCATTAAAAAGCTGGAGGGAAAAAGAAAAAAAAACCAAAAAGCTAAGAAAACAGCTGAGAAGTGAGATATTTGTTACAAAGGGTAAAAAGAAAGTGAAATAGGTAATTCAAATTGTTGTGAGATATGTTTTTTTTCCTGCTTTCTTTTAATTTTTCATCTTTTTATTTTTTTGCTATTCAAACTAGAATTTGTCCAATCAGTCTGCTAACCAAACCTATATTAATTGTTTTTGTAAATAGGAAAAATACTACGGGAAGCTAATGATGGGCTCGTTTTTTTGAAAAAAAATTATTTTGAAAGCATTTATTAAAAGCTTAAACATTTACTAATTTTCAAAATCATGACACATTCAAATTTTGAAAATTACCTGCCAATTTTTTATTCATGTTTTTGACAACACTTTGTTTAATTTGGATTAAAATCTTGAATTAATTACTTTCAAAAATTAAAAGTTTTTATAAAAAATGAAGTAAAAGATACCTTTTTGAGAATTATAAAAAACATGGCTTTGATTTTTCTTAAAGATTTCCAGAGTGGAGATGTTAGTTTTCACTTATTTTCAATAGCAAGAAAGAGATGAAAGGAGAGAAGAGAGAGGGAGAGAGAAAAAAGAGGAGCGAGGAAGGGAAAGGAGGTTATTTGAAAATCTAAAATATAAAGAAATGATATCAAACATTTCCTCTCCTCTTACAATACAATTCACAAATTCATAAACACTATTTTTTAACCACATAAATGTTCTTGTGCTCAATATTTCTATTCCCTTAACAAATTTCCTGTCATAAATTGAGTTTTTGTTATTAATAAAATTAAGTCAACCATTTACCGTTTTCCCGCTTGCCTTTTCTTTAAGGATCTGATATTTTATAGGAACATTAAGTGGTTCGCAAATTAAATGTTATAATTTGTTTTGATTGTTTTTTAACTTAACCTTATAATTTGCTTTAAGTTATTTTTACTAAATTAAAATTTTATCCCATGGCTTTTTTATATATAAAATAAATTACTGTTATCTTTTCATTCTTGAATGGTTAAGAAATGTGATGCAAGTGTTGCTTGATGATGTTGTATATAAGGAATTTAATCAGTCTCGACAATAGGTAAATGTAATGAGGAGAAGCATGTACACGAATATATTGTCATTTTGAAATTATATCAGTGCTTAAGGACTAATCGATCGAAGAGCGACCAGAAGGATTTTGAATTCTGAACAGATTTAATACAAAAATGAAGCAAGATGGATGTCAACAAATTCATTCAGTTTCATTAGAAAGGAAGAAAAGTTCCTAAGTACGGAGAAAATGATTCCCAATAAAAATTAGAAAAAATTGAAAAGTCTAAAATTTTGTCTTCAGAAAATGAGAAAATTGAGGACAATCGCAAACATGCAGACACACTGTTTTCTCATTACTTCTTTAGATTTCTTTTTTTTTTAAAAAAAAAAACGAACCAATGACGAAAATATTCAACAGAGAATTGAAAAAGATGGGTTAATCGCGGAAGGGCAAATCATCGGTGGCCTTATAGAAGCCTTCATAAAATGTAATTTACAGGAATGACTGTTCAGTATAACTTGGATGTATCAACTTCTCGACCTTGGACTTTATTTAAACTTTTATTCCGATGGCGTGGAAGTATATGGAAATCAATAATTCTTGAATTATTTGTTTGGCTGGTATTATTTGCAGTAATATCAGTAATATACCGTGTTGCTTTAACCAGTGAACAAGTTAGGTACATCGTATAAATTCTACATGTTCTTCAACAGAGAAAAGCATGCAAAATTTTTTAATTTTAATTAAATACACGATTCGAGAAAAATGAATGTCGGAATCTAGAAATTAATATGTTGAAATATGATATCATGGATGCAAAGATACCTGCTTCTTAAAAAATTCAGCTCAAGCATCCTAATACAGCAAATTACTATCAATTAGCGCTGAAAGATGGTGAATGTTTATTTAGAAAGGCCTCAGACTGAGAAGAAATATTGTTGTATACTTTTTCAGATAAGTAGATAGTATTAAACCCCCCTAATTTGTTGCTAACGTCAAGTTGAAATTATTTCTAAACTGCTAACACTTTAAATGATCGACAAATTAAACAAAATAATTTTTAGTAACTATAGTTAACTATTATTTATTGTCAATGTGAAATAAGAAAATTCGGCAAATGAGAAATTGCAAATAATAGGTGGCGCTCATCACAACCACCAGAATTTCAGTTGTAATTTTCTTTTCATCCTATTCCTATGCTAAATTTCATTTATTCATATTAACACTAATTTACTATTTTAGCACATTTGAGCAGTTCGTAGATTACTGTGATGAAAAATTGGATTATATTCCATTGAACTTCATGCTCGGCTTTTTTGTCACAATTGTTTTATCAAGATGGATCAACTTTTTCGTAAATATTGGCTACATTGATAAGTTGGTTCTTTTTTTTTTAATTTTTTCTTACTTCGCAAGTTTTAACTTTACCTAATTTGATTTTTCGTCTTTTTTTTCATTCTAAAAACAACATAAATTAAAAATTTTTATGAACCGATTTAATTTATAAAATTAAGAAATTCTGGGTTTTTTAAAACTGTACTCATTGTAGATGGGACAAAATTTTAAGGAAATTTTTTCATGACAGTTTTTCGATCAGTATTAGTGCCAATTAAAATTGGTAGGAAACCATTAGATTGTTTCGGCGAATTCGAACCCATTACTCAGCTTTCCGGATACGTACTGAGCAGAGTTCCAGAAAGAACTATTTATTTTGTTATGCGAGCAATTGCTCACAAAAAGCAGTAATTAAGTGAAGCCGATTTATTACTTTATAGTATAGCTTTATTGGTAGCAGCATATGTGAAGGGGTCGGACGATCGAGCACGAATGCTACGTCGAAATATCATTCGATACTGCGTTCTATCGCAAGCGCTTATATTCCGTGATATCAGTATGAGAGTGCGGAAACGGTTTCCAACAATCGAAGCATTGGTTGCTGCTGGTATCTTTTAGTTAAATGTGATCAGTAATCAAAGTTAGCACATTCACAGATCGTCCATTTTCTCAAAGCGTAGTCAAACTGCATAGCACATGATTTCGTAATATTTCAAATTTCTCTATCTTCTACAAATAGTTAGAATGCAACAAAACTTAACTGAACCTTAAATAAAATTTGACGAAATTTTGAAAAATGAATTTTTTTGAATAACAGAAGGCAAAATATCGGAAATAATAATAGGTTTTATGATGAAACACGAAAAAGAGAAATATGATGCTATTCAATATCGCTATGCTAAATATTGGATGCCATTCCAGTGGGCATTATCACTTTGTCAGGAAGCACGAAATCAGCAAAAAATTTCCAGCGATATTTTACTTGAAAAAGTTGGCGAGGTGAGTGATTCGTTTTTCTTGAATGAATTTCAAGGATTGATAACGAATTATCCACTTGGAATTCATTTGCTTAAGCTCAATTGCATTTCATGTATATGCAACTTTCACAGCATCGACAGTCATAAATTCTGTTTTCCTAAAAAAGTTCTAATAGATTTTTATCATCTGATTTTTAATTCTCTGACTACTTCATTCCAATTATCTAATCAGTTCAAAATATGAGTGATAAGATAACGTCAAGGAGAATATGATAATACACCATCAGCTATACATTCGCTCTGTCTTTTTTGTGTCTTAATTAAAATCTCTTCCTACTTTGCAAATTAATTTATACTACATGATAACTCACATATTGAGTAAATGTTGTTTGAGCTGGAATTTTGAAAAGTGATATTTATTGCTCCCAATGTTTCATAAATGAATAAATGAATGGATGTTGGCTGCCGATAAGATATAAATGAGTTTAAAAATTTCACAAATAGTTTAATAATAACTCTTCGTATTTTTCAGTAACAAATTAGCTAATTTAACTTTTTTTCACTAATTTGAATTAATATTTTCAGGAAATTAAACTATTTCGTACAAATTTGGCAATTTTATGTAACTTTGATTGGGTACCGTTGCCAATTATGTATCCGCAATTAATTGTCTTAGCTGTTCACACATATTTTCTCGTTGGTGCTATTGCCAGGCAATATATTACGAGTGAAAAAGCACAAAATAAATCAACGGTCAATATCTTTTGATCATAGTTTGTTTTAGAGTTAATTTCTACAAAAATTGTTAAATTTCAATTTTATTGCCGGAATAGAAAGCCATTCATTCCAAAGACAGTTCTTCTCCCAGTTTTTTAGCACCATAAATGCCTGATAATTTCATTACGAAAAGCTTCCTGTAACAGACCTAATTGCAAGTAGCTTCTCCAACGCAGGCTTTCAAGCTAGGATCATGAGATCCTTCATATCGCTTTACTAATCATTAGCTTACTGACAAATCAAGAATCTATTTTGCTTATTTCTTATTTTTTATCTAACTATCTGTTACAGCTGGATATGTACTTTCCGGTGATGACCATTATTCAGTTCGTTTTCTATATGGGATGGCTAAAAGTAGCAGAAGCAATGTTGAATCCGTTCGGTGAAGATGACGATGACTTTGAATGCAATTTTCTTCTCGACAAAAACCTTAGCGTAATCTTTGCTATCATTTTCATGTGGAAGACAACAACAAATACATGCCCTGTGGCCTGGTTTTTAGGTTGGCTTGACAATCGTAGACGACGGATACAACAAGATACCCGCATTACTCAAAGATGTTTTCTGGAGCGAAACCGAAATTGAGCCGTTATATTCAGCGGAATCAGCCCGTGGAGAATATCGACTTTCCGGTTTGACGGGTTCTACTGCAAACGTTCGGTAAGAATTTATTTCTTAATATGATTTGTTTTTCGTTAAACTTTTCAGAATCACTGCTGTTACTGCATGCAAATTTTTTTAGGTTAGCTGATCAAGACAGAAAAATTAAAATGTTGCCATTATCACGAGAAGCCGATAATCACTATTCAATTTCTGGATTTTTAAGAAGTTCGATGCGACACAGCTTACGCGGTGGAAGGTAAGTAAGAATTGATCATTACATATGATAAAAAATTGGTGTAATTATATCATAAATAAGAAGTAACTGTATTAAATAACTACAACGGAAAATTATGCTATCAGATAATGAGACTATCAAGTGGCTATTATAAATTTGAACATGATCGGATATTTTAAAAAATTTTTAGTTAATTGATCAAATCAATAACTATTCATTTCAATATGATATGGTCGCCATAATTTCAAAAAAATCGATATAAATTAAATAGTCATAGCAACTTTGAGGATAAAGTATGAAATGCTTTCTTTTCCTCAGTTTCAAAAGATTTAAATTTTAGAACTGACCATCATGGTGGTATTATGAATATTGTTCGTCAGAAATTTGGTAGGTAAGGTAATTATTACATATAAAAATTAATTTAAATTATTTTTTATCTTTAAATGCTTGTTTTATCCGGAAAATTTTATCTTTTAATGTATTATTTCCTTATGTTACAATAAATGAAGAGATGAGTAGAAAATATTATCATTTCTTTATTACGATTATCTTTTCCAAATTCGTAATACATCACTGTTCAAGACATTAACAATTACTAATTAATGTTGATCTCGTCCTTCTTATTTTACAATAAATGAACACACGAAAGATCAGTTCTCTATTATTAAAATATGAGTAAGCGTTACTGTTGTACAGAAGTATCTCATCTTGCATTTAGGTCATTAAGCTATTCACATTTCAACACGAGTCAGAATGTCAATGATTGCGGTAGCAGAACGAATCAAAGTGTGGACGAATTATCAGGCCTGGAAAAAGGCTATTCAAAGGGGATGAGTAACAATGAAAGTCGCCGGAGCAGTTTAAATCGTGTTCTGGAAACTATTATCAATGAATCTTATGACAACCCGAATGTTAATTTATCAGGTAAATAAACTTTTCCGGTGTGAAATGAATGAAGAAGCGCAAAAGAATCATACTGAATAAACATCAGCATTACTTGAATAAAATTATAATCAAATTTGACGAAAAGAGAAAAATAGAAGGAGCTAGATTCCAAATTGTGAAATCATTTCTGAATGTAAGATTTCTTCAAATTTTTACTAGACTTAATAGATATTTCTGAGCTTGGAAACTTTATTAAAATTTTTAGATGAAGACTTGCCACTTACATTGAAACATTTATCAATTAGCACAACTGGTGATGGTCGACATTCGGGCCATCTTACATTGTCACAAACGTCGATGTTACACAAACTGGAAGATTTGGAGGAGGAAACAGAAGAAGCTATAGGCAGGAAAAATACTCTCGTAGAAAATCCTTCAACTAACGCTAAATATACCTCCATGAATAACGTAGGATTACGCAATGATGACGTACAGATTGGAGCTGTTGACAGTTTATTACCGACAACAACTCGACGACAAAGCATTGCATCAAACAGTGTAAATTCGGATGGTATTGGTATTCAGATGATTCTCCGTAGACAGAAATCATATCCTCAAGTCAACTTAGAAAATAAATCATCACTTACGTAATTTGTATCTTTTAATTTATTGATATGATATCTCCACTAATTATTTGGCATAAAATTTGAAGTAAAATTTTTTGAAATACAGTTCTATAGAAACCATATATAATTCTAAGTAATTTATCAAATTTGACGAATTCTGTGAAATTTCGAATGAAGATTCGTGATTATGTTGTAATTTGCATTATATTATTGTTTCAGCACTTTTTATATTACTTATTATTACCTTATTATATTAAAAAAAATAGAAGTCAATTTGAATTTTTTAAAATCTTATTAATAAGCAATGTTTTTATGAAAGCAGTAAAAATAAACTGATGCCCAATCTTTCTTCTTGTACTTTGCCAAAAAAATATTCTTCATTCTGTAGGCTGTATAAGAAAATAACAATTGTCCTAATTAATTGAGGAAGAAAAAAAGATTTGGTTAAAACTTCTAACTTTTAATCTTTTGTAAATCTTTTTCGTCCTATCATTACAATAGTCAATTTAATTGAAAAAATAAACTGTTATAAAAAATAAAAACTCTGTGAATTAATTTGTAAATAAATGACTACGTTAGTAACAATTTTATTTATTTTTAAATTTATTTAACTCTAATCGAATCGCTTTAATTCAAGTAATTGACCGAATAAAAAATGAATATTGTTGAAAAAAATTTAACATTTGCAGATTAATATGCATAATAATTTTGTTGAAAGAAATTAACAAATCAATAGCAATAACTTTGATTTAATTTTATCTTTTTTGTTTTTAATCTTTTCCTTTGTTTTTTGGCTGAAAACAATAAATGACGGATAAGATTTGGTTATAACTTTTGACCTTTAACCTTTGTAAACTCTTTTTTTTCCTGTCATATTAGCGAATTCCTTTATTCTCGTGAATATTTCCTCACATGTTAGTATGCACTTTTTGTCTTCATGTGTAATTAAATTGTTATTTTGTCAGATATGCTGCTATCATGCATTATGTCAATACTATTTTCTCTCTTTCTCCCTCTCTCCTGTTTCTGTTTTGTTTGTTTATCTTAACTTTTTTAAGTCTATGTATACAATGCTAAAGTGTTATCAATGTTTATGATTTATTAGTTTGTTGTAGTTAACAATTTTTTTTTTGCTCAATAACAAACATCATTTTCAAGAATTCGTTTTTCTTTTGTTTGTTTAATCCAACGATCAGTTCTGACGATCAGAAATTTCATTCATTTATTGTTCTTTTTCTTTCTCTCGTAACGATTTATAAACAAACCATTATTGAAATAATTTCAATCAAATCATACTGATAAAGTGAATTATTCAGAAATTTAGAAATTTGAGAAATTTAAATTAGAAGCGAAAGAAAAGGCAAAAATTTGAAGAAATTTTTTGAAAAATTATTTGGTTTGTTTAAAGGATGACAGTAAAATATAATTTGGCTGTATCAACATCACGACCATGGACACTGTTCAAATTATTATTTCGATGGCGCGGAAGCGTTTGGAAATCGGTAACCTTGGAACTTGTCATTTGGCTATTACTTTATTTTACTATTGGTATTATTTATCGCAAAGTTTTATCGCCCCAACAAATCAGGCATGATTCAATTACAATTCTATGCATAAATTTGTATTTTGATAAGAGTTTTTAACTAAATTCAAGTGTTGCAATTTTTTAGTAATTGGACCAAAGCTGAAAAACCCTAATATTCTTTTTTTCCTCGTGAAACTTTCGAGTTTGATTGAATGAAACATGGGCAAAATTCCTGAATATGTTGAAAGAGAACTACCGTATTTTGTATGCAAAATAACGTCACGATAGTTTAATCAATCTTACGAGGTTATAGGAAATGATTTGCAGGGTGAAACACGTACGTTTCGTTGCACGTGTATATTTTTTTAACAAGTAAAGTGTTTATTCACTTTAATCAGCTCAGAAATCCAGTTTTTTAATTTGAATGACAATTTTAGAGATTTTGAAAGAATTGCTCATTTATTGGATGAAAAGTTGAACCTAATACCGGTTGATTTCATACTTGGCTTTTTTGTAACATCCGTTCTAAATCGATGGATCAAATTCTTCGATAATATTGGATACATCGATAAGTTCGTGATATCAATTCTTCCTTTTTTCTTCCTTCATGATTTTCACGTTAATCATCCAACATTGCGATATATTTGCACTCAAAAATATTATTTAACTATTCATAAAAGACTGGATGGCTATTTTAAATATTTTTCAATTGTTCTAAGAAATGTTTTTTGTTTAAAGTATAAATCGAATTATATTTAAGTAATGTTTGTAGCATAGCATTGATGACAGCAGCTTATGTGCGTGGTGATGATGAAAGGTCACGAAAAATGCGTCGTAACATTGTCCGTTATTGTGTTTTATCGCAAGCACTCGTTTTTCGTGACATTAGCATGAAAGTGCGGAAACGATTTCCGACATTAGATTCCGTTGTTGCAGCAGGTTTCATTAGAAAATCATGCTTTTTTACCAGTGGATAATGAATTAATTTACTAATAAGATAGCAAGTAATTGTTTTTTCCGATGTTAGACAATGTAGAAAAGATCAAAGATTTTCATGATTTCACTTCTAACCTATTATTTAAATTATTGTCATTACTACAAAATTTACACTTCAGTTCTTTTATCACTTCCCTATTATGATAAGTTTTCTGTTGGGTATTCAACTCAATAACATAAAGCAAATCGTATCAAATCAAGAAACGAATCTTAGCGTATATGCTATTACGATTATTTATAGTTGCATGATTAAATCATATGTTTGATCTTCAATTAGATTACACGACAATAACTTAATGTAATTACAATAATTTTATCAGATAGTGATAATAACGGATTATTTTTTAGGCAGCTTATATAATTAAATTTAGGTAATGCCAACTGATTCATTTTAATCATTGCATCGTTTAATACTTTAAGCTAAAAGGAATTCTATTTATATTTTTAAACAATATTATTTAGGATTTATGATGTCACATGAAAAAGCTAAATTAGATGAACTTCATTATCGATATGACAAGCATTGGGTGCCATTTCAATGGGCTTTAGCAATTTGCGACGATGCACGACAACAACAAAAAGTTGCAAGTGATTGGTTGCAACAGAAAGTTAGTGAAGTAAGCATCCCTCCTTATTTATTAATGTAAACTAATTAATCAAAATATTCATCATTCATCTAAAAAATTTCGAAGAAAAAGCAAGAATTCAATTTTTATATTTGGTAGGAAAAAATAACAGAAAAAATTCTTTTTTATATTTGAAGGGAGAGAAAGTTTTGGAAAAAATGAAAATCAAAATTTTTTAATGATTAATTTCAAAACAGTAAATATAAACATTAAATGTGTAAAATTGCTATATTAAACAATAAATTAATGAACAAACAAATCAGCAAAGCATAGAGGCAAAGGTATGAAATAAGTAGGGAGAAAATAAATATATGTGAAAAGTAGAGCAATTAAAAATAATAAGTAAGTTGAAATAATATTAATAATAATAATAATGATAGTATTTCTAGTATTTTTAAAGTATTTTTGCTTTCCAAATGAAAGATGTTTGAGGTAATAATTTATTTACAAAATTACGTTTTTCCTTTATGTTTGTTGCTATTATATTCATAATTATTATTCTCATGTTATTTCCCTTTGATTTTTGTATATTTTTCGTTAGTAAAGAAGAAAGCAAAATTAATTGATTGATCGCTTCAACTGACGGAATGGAATTATAAATCATTTGAAAAAGATGATGTTTTTTGTAGGAAATCAAGCGATTTCGTACAAATATGGCAAATTTGTACAATTTCGATTGGGTGCCATTGCCTATAATGTATGCTCAAATTGTTGTCCTTGGCGTTCATTTGTATTTTTTGGTTTGTGCTATATCACGGCAGCATATTATTTCGGATGAAGCACCCAATAAATCTAAAGTAAGCTTCAATTATAGACTTTATTTTTTGATATAAAAACTCAACCACTAAAAAGATTTTCGACATTCCGAATGTTAAATAACATTTTTTAAAAATTATCGGCTTTATTTTTCCTTTTCAGCATTGCATTGCATACTTTGAAATAACAGATGGCTTAGAAATTATTAACTTACTTTCTGATGTTTGTAATGATCCGGTCTTTTAATTCGGCAACATTTTAATTAGACTAAACACCAAACACCCTTCTTACCGAATCTTTCTTTTCAAACTATATTTAATAATTGAGGTCATAAATGCAAAATCAAATTGAAAAATTAAAAATATTAAGTTATAAAGCTGAAATTAATAAAATCTAGAAGATATTTGCAAATGGCAAGTTGAGTATCTGGATTCAAATATCCAGGCCTTTTTAAGCCTTACATCATCCTATCCATGCAAAAGAAACTATTTTCAGATAGATGTATTCTTCCCATTCATGTCTGTTTTACAATTTATTTTTTACATGGGATGGCTCAAAGTAGCTGAGGTAATATTGAATCCATTTGGTGAAGATGACGACGACTTTGAATGCAACTTTCTACTCGATAAAAATCTTGCTGTTTGTTTAAAATTTCAAGAAATTAAATTTTGTCTAAAATTTTGCTTCCGAATATTTTGTTATTTGTTTCAACCAATTCTTCATTTGGCAAATAGTGAAGTCATTAAAAATAACATTTGAATTTAGAATTAAATTCTGAAATATTTTTTCAATAAGTCTTGGATAAACAAAATGTCAACTCAACTCAATTTTTCTTTTATTTGATGTATAAACTTAAAAAAACATTTATCTTGCAAATAAAATATTAAGTTAGAAATTGAAATGAATTTTACCTTTTCTTTTATCAAAAAGAAGCTTCTCTCTGAATTTCTTAGCTTACTATAATCAGTTAAATTGCTTATATAATTAAGATATATTACTAATTACCATAAAGAATTTTAAATTAAATTCTAAGCTGCAAATAAGCAACCAAGCAAAAAGTGATATGTAATTTTAACTTCAGGTAGGTTTAATGATTGTTGATTTGGGCTATAATCAACCGCCAGCAATTGAAAAAGACCCATTCTGGGAAGGGCCTATCGAACTACTCTACACGCAACAATCGATGGTACTTGAACGACGTATGAGTAGTATCACCGGTTCTCTCGCGCATATTAGGTTCTCTCATCCATTTTTCATTTACCAAAAAAAGAATGAAATATCTTTTGTCAGAATTTTTCAGAAATTTTACATTTAGCTTGAAAAAACTGACAGAAACTTTTTCCTATGCTGTAATGAATAGGATGGATTCACAAGTTTAAACTATCAAATCTCTACTTTTGAAATTTCAGACGTTTACCAAAACTTCAGAAATTTAATAGTAGTTAACTTTATGAATAATAAGCATTACTAACAATTGTTACTATCTTGTGAATAAAAGCAGAAGTAAACTTGTCGGGCATCAAAACTAATCAAATGCTACAGTGATAATATTATTAATAAATGTGCATTAAAAGATATAAAAACTTATAAATCAATAAATGTTCGAGATCACGAAAGTGCCGTAATTTAATCATGTAAAAATTTGATCATTCATTTTTGTTTAGTTTAGCTATTCTTGAATTTTACAAGCATGTGCAACATTTTCAGCAATGAGAGAACATGTCATGTGAGTGAAATTTTCTATAAATTGAAATTATTTTATCCATTGATGGCAACAATTTCAGATTATCAGACGATAAAAAAATCCAAATGATGCCGTTACCTCATAATGCGGATTTAATTCGAAGTCCATTGGATTATTTGCTAAGAGCGACTTCATGGAGCAGGTAAACTTACCTTTCGCATTCATTTCATTGCTTCATATTCTTTAGTCATTCAAATAACAAAAAAAGGAAAGAAAGAAAGGAAAATTTTTTCAGATCGGTGAATGAAGCTGGAAATATCAGCGAGAAAGAATTATCACGAAATGACCAATGCGGAACCGACTCGCAAGTGACAGATGGTATTCATGCACGGCGAAGATTTAGCTTAGGTAAGTATTAGTTCAAGCTACTCAAATTTATACTTATGATCATGAATTAGCAGTAGTAGAAGATACGAGTTATCGATTTTTCTCATGGAAGTAAATCGTTTTTTTTCCAGGTGATTATTTTCATCTGCCATTTCGTTCGACGTTATCAGCGCGTGCCTCACGTGATTCGATTAACATTATCAACGAGCCCCATCATCTGGAGGATGTGACAGAAGAAAATGAGGATACTGTACATTCACGAAAAGCACAATCTCAACTGAGCCGTCCTCAGATACCATTTCCCACGTCATTTCCACCTGAAAATGAGCCAACAAATCCAATTTCGAATACGCTGGAAGGAAAAGACAGTGAAAATTTAAATAGTTGAGCCTTCTATTTTTCTCCCACTTATCCTTTCATACTGATATTCAAATAAATAAGTGCTAAAAAATAAACAAAGTAGCGAAAGTAGTTGAAATAATGAACAAGCATGATAGTCGTTAATTAGAAATGAATGAAATATTGCCTTATACATTTTGTGCATGAAATAATAATGTAAAACTAAAGGAGTTATTTATAAAATGCAAAAATATGTCATATTTTTAAGCAGTGAAAAGTACAGTGTTCAACAAGTATCTTTCGTTTCTAGCAAACGTTGTTTTATCTCTTTTTGATTGTCAGAGTAAATTTTACCCTGAAATGCTGCACAGGTTTATCATTATATTCATAAAAGAGGTTGCTCACTCACATATTTAGTTGTGGGATTTATTTCCGATTACTAATTATTTGATGTTCTCTGACATGAATACAAATTACTAAACAGTAGTAGTTAATCACAAATTTTAATTTGCATCATTCGCTATTCATTTCTAATGTCATTATATCATTCAGCAAGAGATAGTGTTACTGACACACTAAATATATTTTGATAATTGAATTCTTGAAAGAAGCTCATGTTAATTGCACAACTACATCTCACTAGCAAATGCATTTCAACCTGATATTTATTTGATAGAAAGATGCAAATGCAATATAATTGATATAATAATACCATTCTCCTTATCTGTTCAACTGATGAGGCCATTTTTAATAAAAATTTTCGCCTTTTTTTATAGCTATCTCAACTTTCATCATCTCATATTGCTATTTTTCTTTTTTACATTTGTGTAAATAAAAATGAACCTAAAAATGTATGCAATTAACTAATTCACTTATAAAATTATTTCACAACCAAATGGATGTCAAATGTTATGACTTTATTCATATTTGATTCATTGTCCTCTTATTATAGTAAGTAAACAATACCGGATAAATCATACAGCAATATTCTGTTGAAAATCATATGACAGATCCTGTTGTTGCTAACAGCTTATTCTCATTCCGTGCCGGGCAATACTCTAATTTCAATTTAAATTCATTGCTTCTTTCTTTTATTTCTTCACAACGGTCTTTACTTTAGCTATAAATATTTTTCTCTTATTTTATTTCGGTCCAATCTTTTTTATCAATAATTCATTTTCTCATTTAGGCGTTTGGAAGTAAATTTCTACTTGACCTTTTTTTCTTTTGCCCAAGACAGTTGAAGAAATTTTGAAAAAAAAAATCCATTCGTGTAAAACTCGATTAGATGGAATCAAGATTTTTCTGATATTTTACTTCCTTGAATTTGCTAAACTCTTTGCAACAAAAAAATTTGTTAAATCTTCTACAATTATTAATTCAAACCACCTTATTTTTAAATTTTTCTTTCTCTAAGGTATTCCAGCCTTCCTAATTTGTTTCAGTATTTTAGTCCTTCTTGCTTTGTTTGTATCGGATTCGCTTATTAACGGTTTAAATATTTAATATAAATTCACAATCATTTTCTTCGTTTCGAAATTTTTGAAATAATTCGTCATTCTCTACAAATATTTCTTGCAATAAATTCTTATTCGGGTAATTTCTGATGCATTTGATGATATTTTAACCAATAAACTGTTTCATTAATGAAATAGTTTACTAGTTAAAACAATCCTTTTGTTTGAAGACAGAAAAAATTTGACATGTTTGTTATCCTTATTTCAGTTAAAATATATTCTGTTCATATTTTCAGAAATAAATCTCTCTGGAAAATTTATTTCACTCTGAAATACATTTTCAATTGATCTTGCAAAAAAAAATGTTTCGTAACGATCCAAAAAAAAAAAAACTTGATAATTTACCGCGATATGTGGAAACCAAATGATCCTATAATTATGATAGTCTATAAAGTTAAATGTCAAATTTGAAAATTTTTTACCAAAACTTTCTTGCAACACTTAAAAATATTGCTTAGTGCATCAAGCGCATATAGAAATGTTTGTGAAAAGAAGTAAAGAATGGAAAATGAATCATTTGAAGTCTTCTCAAAATAACATAAAAACCCTTGATATCTTAGACACTTTTATATTTGTATTTTTTATATTAAATATTTTTATATTTTTTTTTGGATGTCTGTATGAACACGATTGACAATTTACAATTCTCATGACTATATAGCAAAAGAAAGGAAATCATCTCTCTAATATTGTCTTAACTCCAATTAATTCTGGCAAGTACCATTTACCCAATTTGGAGTCCCCAACTTCCCTTTAATAATCCGCCTCAAACCTTCTACCCCGAATGACGGAGAAACACTCCAAGAATTCAAAACTGAATTCAATCCAAAGTTAAAGTTATATATATCACTATGATGAACAGGATCCAATGGTTGCATATTGCTACTTGAAATGGTGTTGCGGGGTTACTTCACTGGTAGCGATTTTATTTTCCTTTGCAGACTAATGGTTTTTTTAAGGCTTTTACGGGGGTGTGCGTTAAGTCGAGGGTGCTTGACGTGGTTCCGCAGATTTCGAAGTTTCTTTTGATAAGACGTGGTTGAGATTTCTTGGCTCCTTCCAACTTCAAAATTTCTTGGCCTCCTCCTCGGTCCGAATTTCTTGACCTAATATAACCATTTAAAACAAGATATAACAATACTGAGTGAAAACATGGATTGCAATTGAAAAATGTATGATTTTTCTCTAGCCAATTTAATCATCACTCAGATTTATGTGACAACTGGGTTTATCCATGTTGCATTTGAAATTGACTAACTCGGTTCTGATGATTATTAGTCAAATATAGAGTATGAGCGTATTGTTAGCAAATAAAATCGTTCTCACATTGTTTACATTTTTGATGAATTTTTTTATCACATACTGGTAGCATTTGTGGATAATCAAAAATGGTCTATGCTGTGTGCATACTATGAATTCATACGGGATAATAGAGAAGTGCGTTTGTTTGCTAGACTTGACGTAGGCATATATATA